ACACTTGATTAAAGCTAACGTTCCTTTTTCATTTAATTCTTAATATTAAAAAAGCTTCGACCTTTTGAAGCTCGCTTTAACTATTGCGCTAATCTTATAGCATTATAACCAAGATCTCTTTTATATGCTAAAGACTAACGCTTTCGACGGCGTAATCGCTTTAATCCTTTCTTAAAAGCATAATTCCGATTGGTTACTAGTCGCTTATTATTTTAAAACTATAGCTTTCGCTAAGCTCAACTACGTCGTCTACGATAAAGAGATGCTAGTTATTATACGCTCTTTTAATAACTTCCGCGCCGAACTCGCCGGCTCTTTTTATTAAGTTCAAGTAATCATCGATTATAAAGCTTTAAAGTACTTTATAACCTTCAAGACCTTTAACGCTCGTCAAGCACGTTAAGCAAAGCTCTTTTTCGATTATAACTTTATTATTACGTATAGATTAAATAAAGACAACTTTTTAATTGACGCGCTAATACGTCGCACCGAAAAGCTCTTTTCTTAAAACAGCTTTAAGCGTACTTAACGCTTGCAAACGCTGCTCCGCGCCGACAACGTTGACTTACGACTTTTGATTGAAAAGCTACGCTAACTTACGCTTTCGAAGACCGCCGTTATTATCGAAGAGATCGCGGAGCTCTTATCGATATTCCGAGTTATTAACTAAGTCTTAGAAGCTAATCGGACCGCTTTTAGTTTCATAGCACTTTGAATTCAAGCTTTTAAAGCTAAGTCTTTATTCGTGAACTACGGTTCACGAGCTAAACTTATTATAAAAAGCGACTTGCTGCTTTATGACGGCCGCTTATTAGTTTTTAACGTCTAAAACTTGCGCTCGTTACTCGTTCGAAAAGTCTACGACCAAGTATTTATAGCATACTTTAGCTTTCGCAAAACTTATAAGCTCTTTGCAATATAGTATTATTAATACGGTATAACCAGATTCGTCAATTAGTACTACCGCAACTGCTACGCTTGCAAACGAGCTTTAGTGCTTCGCGACAAGAAACTTAGTTTGCTTTAACTTCTTTCGATCTTCTCGCGCTCTTAAGAGCACGTTATTATAAATTTTTATAACTTTAATAAAGACAAACACGGCTACGACAACGTCTTTATAATAATCGACCGCTTTTTTAAGCAAGCAATCTCGATCCTTTATTATAAGTCTATCGACGCTAAAAGCCTCGCTAAGCTTTATATCTATTATATCTACAAGTATTTTAAAGCTCTTTTAACATTGACTTTTAATAAAGGACCTTAATACTAGTTCGAGTTCTAGAAAGAATTCAATAAGATCTTCGGTATTAAATTGACTTTTAGCACCGCCGTACACCTTAAGACTAACGGTTAAATCGAAATTTATAACTAGTACTTGCAAAAGCGCTTCCGTCTTTTCGTAAGCTATTATTAAAACGATTAAAGTGAGTTTTTTCTTATAATAGACTTCGCTTAATTGACGCTTTTTTACGACTCTTTCGGCAGCTTTTCTTTTTTTAAAGTAATTCACGGCTACGCTTTTCGGACCACTTAGAATTAAAGCTTAGAACGACTTGACGACCAAACCCTTTTTCGCAAGCTCAACTAAGACGAAGCTCGCGCTTACGCTAACCGCTACTTCGGAGCTTAGAACCTCGTTAAAAAGCACTTTTAACGCGCTTAAGACCGCATAGTTAAACAAGCTAATAAATCAAAGCGCTCGGTTGACTTCGACGTTAATGATAAGGTTTGGTTAGATATACGCTCGTTCCTTACTTCTCGACCGTTAAAAAAGCTCGATAACTCGACGAACGGACCGTTCGAGATTACTAACAACGTTTATAACAGCTTCAAACTTAAGCTCTCCGAGTCAATAAAGGTTTACTTAGTCTTTTACTTCGGACGACTACGAAAAGCTTTTAATAACCTTACCCTCGAGCAAATCATTCTTGAACCTGACCCGATTAATATCATTAGCGAACTTGAGTACGAAGTAAAGAACATCTTAGCTGTACGCTAAACTAAGAAGCACTTTAAGTACCGCGCTTCTTAGCTCGGCCGCGATATTGACCTTACTTAGTACCTCGCCTCCGACTTTATGTACGCTCTTTTTAAAATACGTGACTTTTATTTAAAACATAAAGAGCTTTTCGGCTTTTTCGCGAAGCTCTTCGAATAGATTAAAGCTTATTCGAATAGTATTGATAATTACGATCACTTAAGTAGTAATAAAGCAATAGATAAACGCTCGAAGACGAGCTTTTTTCGGACGGAAAGGTAGTGTAACGACACGCTAAGTCTCTTAGACGCACTTTATATGCGCTAAGCTACTTCCTTCCTTTTTTCTTTCGTATTCTTCGTATTCTTTTATTCTTCGCTTTTGACCTATGAACTATGGTTTACGAGTCCTTAGCGCTTCTACCTTCGTGTATATAAACCTCAGCTACTTTCGACCTTTACACTCGGTAGTTGTTGATTTTAAGTCATTACTTTAAGATTCTCTTAAGCTCTTATGTGAACCCCGCGCTCCCGTAAGTTCCTTCAGGTAATCGCTTAAGGTCGTCACAATAACTAAAGCTTTTAAAAATTAGTTAGAGTTCTTAAAGGTGATAGGTGTTAGTTGTAAGAAATGAATATAGTTGAAAAGGACAGATTGTAAAATGAAAGTTATAGCAAAGTAGCGTTGAAGTGACTTGCAAAATCCGCTTTCGATTAATTCGAAGGTTGTTAAAGACTAATTGAATAGCTCGTAAGTGCGAATGTAACTCTTAATTATAATGCTTATTAGCACTAAGATTAAGAAGAGATTTTGTAGATTGAATAAAGCTTAATATCTTTTATTTAAGAAGCTCGTTAAGATCTATGTATATGTACTTAAGAGCTCTAATGTGCCAAGGGCGCTACTAAGCGAGGTCACATAACATGTCACATATAGCTTGGGTAGAACCATGCCTGTTCCGCACAACAATTACTAAAGAATTTTAAAGAAAAGGAATATTATTAAAGCCGTTTTTAGCGGAATGAAGTAGTTGTTAATAATATAACGACTTTAAGCGATTACTTAAAAGAACTCACGAGAGCGCGAAAGTTTATATAAAAGCTTAAAAGAATCTTAAAATAATAACTTAAAATCAACAACTATCGAGTGTAAAAGTCGAAAGTAATTAAAGTCTATATATACGAAAGTAAAAGCGCTAAAGACTCGTAAACCATAGTTTATAAGTCAAAAGCGGGGAATGAAAGAATACGAAGAATACGAAAGAAAAAAAGAAGGAGGTAGCTTGGCGCATATAAGGTGCGTCCAGAAGACCTGGCGTGTCGTCACAAAGACCTTTTTAACTTAAAGAAGACGAAAGAGTTAAAAACGTAAATATAGAAGGAAATTACGAAAAAGCTGCCGAAGAGTAGTTTAAACTTTTAAAGTTTAAAGATAAGATACTTTTCTTTTTTTATATATTAGATTTTTCTTTCTTTTATACCTTTTTTTTTTCTTCTTGCTTGATAGTAAGCGAAGGCGCTTACTTATTCTATAAAAGGACGGATGTAAACACTTTGCTTAATAAGGCACTTGCTAAAGCTATTAAGGCTACACTAAACGGACTCATCTTCTATAAAAGAGCATACATCTTTTAATTAGAACAATTAACGAGCTTTCTACTTATCTTTTTTTTTTGCACTTCCTTATGAGTTGTTGTTATTGTTGTTGTATTTATTAACGTCGGGCGGGTATTTAAAACGCAATGCTTAGACTTTAAGGACCTCTTATAAGGTACGGCGACGTATTAAGTAAAAGAATTATATACAAAGTACTATTTAATCGAGAGTAAAAACCACGTTAAAGAAAACCTTTTGTCAAATAGCTAGACATTTGTAAACTTTTTAAAAGCAATTTATAGTAATGTGCGTCGAGTTTTCTCTTGACAACTATCGAATACGTATAGCTTTACGAGCGGCCTCGATCCGTATAATATAAACATCGTTCTCTTTCGTCGTAAAGCTAAAAAGGCTCGCGTTCGTAGCTTTTAAATAAAGCCGGTATATTTATAAAACGCTCTTTCGAAAGCGTAGTACCGTGTTTTCGATCAATCGAACTAAGCCCTTTTTATCTTATCTCTTATATACGTTCCTTTTCTATCGCAAATCCTTTTAGTCTTTTCAATCGGTATGCCCGTCAATTATAGATCGTAGTCGGCGTAGTATTCGAAAAGAAAGAAAGAGGTTCGGAATCGCCGGTAAAAGAAAATCTCTTCGAAAAGACGTCGTATGTCGATAATTCAATTTCGGCTTTTCAGACTCTTTATCTCTTTTTCTACCGTAAAAGAAAGAAAGAAAAAGAGCTGAAGGTTCGTAAGGGGCACCTCGTACAAGTAAAGAATCGTAGCCCTCCGCACTTCCTTGTGAGGACTATAAGGTCCAGCCTTAAAGCCAGGCTTCTATACGGCACATCTTTTTAAGTGCTTCTACAATACGAAGAATACGAAGGAAAAAAGGAGGAAGGTAGCTTGGCGCATACGGAGATACGTCCAAGAGACTTGGCGTGTCGTTATAAATAAGCTAATATCGCAAACTGCGAGAACGCAGTTTTTCGGAAAGGGAGGGTGATATTACGGTAATAAAGGCACTAAATCACGCGGAGGTCACGTAGCCACACGGTTAAGAGTTACACGTTACCTCGTGACCTTAAGCTCCCGTCTTAGCAAAACAGCTTACAAGACCTTTTTTTCTGCACTCACTCTCTTCCTTTCCCTTTTCATCTTTCTTTCTCATTATAAAGCGTACTCTTAAGTAGCAATACAATCATACTGCCTTCGACAGCCGTAACACCTATAGGAGGAATAGGGAGGAAAACCCCATGGGGCCCCCACCCCATGGAGCAGCCTAACATGTTTATAGATCTTGACGAGCTTCTTAGATAGAATATACCAAGCTTCATTCAATCTGCAGAATCTCCTCCTGATCCTAGTGCTAGTCAGCACTGCAATGATATATAGAGAACTTGGTTCTCTGCCGGGTATTTCGATTCAAAAGACGGGCGCGCTATGGACTTTTCCTTCGCAAGTACCAAAGCCAATCTTCTCGCCAGCTTCGCCGCAGCTTCCGCGAATAACAACCTCATCGCCGTCTTTCAGAAATTTCCGCGTATCCATCCCCGCGAGCTGGATCTCTTGTTTTCCAGCTTGGGTCATCTCTAGCATACTGCCCAGATCACTCCGATCTTCGCTTTTGCCACTGATTGTGCCGCTGCCCAGCAAATCGCCTACCGCCATCGGACACCCGCCCGAAGAATGGTGCGCCAGCATTTGCGGAAAGCTCCACAGCAGATTCTTTCCGCTGACTTTCGAAATGGTCGTCGTGGCCCCTTCCGGCGTTGTCAAGTCGACCTCCAGCCTTATATCGAATACCGTAGCCGGCTCGCTCCCCTTCAGATGCGGCAGCACTTCCGTTACGTTGTCCAAGGTCTTGACGCGGAACGGCTCCAGCGCGTCCGCGAGCACCACCCACGCGCTGACCGTCGTCCCAAAGTTCTTGGCGTTGAACGGGCCCAGCGGAACGTACTCCCACGTCTGAATGTCGCGGGCGCTCCAGTCGTTCATCAGGACGTACCCGAATATATGGGACTCGGCGTCGGCAATGCGAATGGGGGTGCCGAGCGCGTTGCCCTTGCAGAGGAAGCAGCCAAGCTCGAGCTCAATGTCGAGGCGCCGGCAGGGCCCGAAGATCGGAATCTTGGGATTCGCGGCTGGGTCCAGCAAGATCTGACCGTTTGGCCGCGTGATGGGCGTCCCGGAGACGACGACGGACGAGGCCCGGCCGTGGTAGCCGACGGGGAGGTGGGTATAGTTTGGTTGGAGGGCATTGGCTGGGCCGCGGAACATGGTGCTGAGAAAAATCACCCTGTCAGTATCTGTGGACATTTTGATCGAGGTGAAATGGATGAGAGAGCATGCATACCCGACGTTGAAAGCATGGTTGATACCAGCAAAGAAATCCGTATAGTCACCAATCTGCATCGGCAACTGCGTCTTGGTATCCTCCTTGTTCAACAGCGCAGCAGTCCTCAGCTCCTCGTTGTCCCTCAGCACGCCGGCATGCTTCCCAGTTTCCGAGAACACATCTTGCAGATATGCTCGTACTTCTCTGTGTACCGGTCTCCCCAGTGCAGCGAATGCATTCAGGGTGGGCTCTGAGAAGACATCGATATGTTTTTCAAACGAAGATCCCGCAAAGCCATTTCTTTGCGAGAATGCCAGCAGATCGAGGACGTGGTCGCCAATGGCTACCGCTGGTCTCTTTCGATCCCGAGATTCGCGAGAGGTGATGATGCCGAATGGGATGTTGGACAGGGAGAAGTCGCTGTCGGCGGGGATGGCGAGCCAGGATTTGATGGGCGCCATGGTTGTTCGGATTGTTGATATCGTCGTGAATAGCCGAATCGAGAGTCGAAGTCGGCGATGTGAAGAAAGAGGACGGCGGCGCATGAGAATCCCATATTGATGTTCTTACAGAGTCAACTCGGACCTGCATCTGGATCTGCATCTGGATCTGCATCTGGATCTGCATCTGGATCCGCGAGCTTACGGAGTCGGAGTAACAGTCGCGGCCAAGTTCCGCTCGGAGCTTCTCTTTTCCCTTTTCCGGTTCCGCGCCTACGGAACGGATCCTTTCCGCCGGCTCCTTCCGTCCTCGCTTCAAACCCCTGAAGCTCGTAAGCGAAGCGAAGCGAAATCCTCTCAACCCGGTGGATGTGCAGTGACTGCGGAATCGTCGCCGCGGAGGAAAGTGACGACTGTTGTTACACTATGTATACTTGTACTATTGTACTGTAGATCACGATTTCTCCTACTTCTATATAAATATTGATATTGATATTGATATTGATATTGATATTGATATTGATATTGATATTGATATTGATATTGATATTGATATTGATATTGACATTGACACTGACATTCATATTGATGTCGATATCAAAATTGGCTGGGCAATCAACATATACCTACGTTCCTCGGATTGATCCTCCATCACCACCCGGACGGATCATCTATTATACAGGATTTATTCCTCGGATCCCAAAACCGCAGATATGGCGGTCCAAACGGTAGGCTTTGCCATCGTCGCCGTCGTGTTCTTTCTGGTCCGCTACCTTAACCGCACCGACACGCCAAAAGTGAAAAACCTCCCTGAGATCCCTGGCATCCCGCTCTTCGGGAGCCTGCTCCAGTTCGGAGAGCACCACGCAAAGGTCGCTGCAGAGCTCGCAAAGAAGTACGGTCCCGTGTTCCAGGTCCGGCTCGGCAACCGAGTAAGTAAATAAACACAAGAACTTGATGAGCCGCCTTCGAAACCCTTTCTTCCACTCACAAGATCAATGTCAATAACAAGTATATGCTGACTGCCTGACAGCGCATCGTCTTTGCAAACACCTTTGACTCGGTCCGCCACCTCTGGATCACTAACCAATCCGCCCTCATCTCCCGCCCGACCTTACACACCTTCCACACCGTCGTCTCCAGCTCCCAGGGCTTCACCATTGGCACCTCGCCATGGGACGAGTCCTGCAAGCAGCGCCGCAAGGCCGCGGCCACCGCCCTCAACCGCCCGGCTGTGCAGACTTACATGCCCATCATCGACCTTGAGTCCTGCGTCTCCATCAAGGAGCTCATATCCGACAGCAAGCAGGGCACTGTGGACATCGACCCCAACGCCTACTTCCAGCGCTTCGCGCTCAACACCTCGCTCACGCTCAACTACGGCACGAGGATCGATGGGAACATCAACAACGAGCTCCTCAAGGAGATCTGCGATGTCGAAAGGGCCATTTCGAATTTCAGGAGCACGAGCAATAACTGGCAGGATTACATTCCACTGCTGAGGCTGCTGCCGAGCTCGAGTACCGAGGCGAAGGAGTGGCGCGATCGGAGGGACAAGTATTTGACGTTCTTGCTGAACAAGCTTAAGAAGAACATTGCGGATGGGACCGATAAGCCTTGTATCACCGGCAACATCTTGAAGGATCCCGAGGCGAAGCTGAACGAGTGTACGTCTTGACTTCTCTTCTTCCCACCTCTGATCCGCTTCTCCCCCCCCCCCTCCCCCAACCCCTTCTCTTTCCCTTTTCCTTTTCAGGCCACAGAGATACAACGATGCTAACAAATCAACGCCAGTCGAGATCAAATCCATCTGCCTCACCATGGTCTCAGCCGGTCTCGACACCGTCCCCGGCAACCTCATTATGGGCATCGCCTACCTCTCCAGCCCGGAAGGTCGCGCGATCCAAGAGCGCGCCCACGCAGAAATCACAAAAGTCTACCCGGCCGGCGACGCCTGGGAGAAGTGCCTCGTGGAGGAGAAGGTGCCCTACGTCACGGCTTTCGTGCGCGAGGTCCTCCGCTTCTTCACCGTGATCCCCATCTGCCTGCCGCGCACCTCCATCAAGGATATCAGCTACGGCGGCGCTACCATCCCGGCTGGCACGACCTTCTACATGAACGCCTGGGCCGCCGACTTCGACCCGGCGCACTTCAAGGAGCCGCATCTTTTCTCCGTCGAACGCTACCTCGACAACCTGGAGGGCGCGGGTGGCACTCCACACTACGCCTACGGGGCCGGGAGTAGGATGTGCGCGGGCAGCCACCTGGCGAATCGCGAGCTGTACACGGCCTTCATTCGCATCTTCACGGCGTTTGAGGTCGAGGCGCCGAAGGACGCGAGGGATCGCCCGATCCTGGATGCGTTGGAGTGTAATGCTATTCCGACGGGGCTGACCACCGACCCGAAACCCTTCAAAGTCGGCTTCAAGTGTAGGGATCCGGAGAAGGTGGCACAGTGGATTCGGGAGAGCGATGAGAGGACGAAGGCTTTGTAGATGGCAAGCGAGTGTCATGGCCCGAGGCCCCACAAGCTACTGAAGTGCACACAGACAGATCGCCAGTGGAGGAGGCCATATGGGCCTCACGTTGCACAGAGTCTCTACGGAGTAGAACAACAATCAATCCACCTTGAAATCCCATTCTTCCCTATTATCTGCGAGGGGGTGGGAGGTGCTGAGCCCGTGGCATGCAAGAAGGACTGTGGAAATTGTATATATCGCACAGGCGTTGGGAATGGAAGGCTTTGTTTACTATCGCTTGCAAGCTTAGCCCAGGCTCTGCATCCGAATGTAACAAACAACTTTACCTCGATCTGGTATTCCAGCTCCAGTCGCCACCCCGCCGAGAAAAGGGAAATCGGTCGTGGTTCGCAAAGTGCGCGTTGGAGCTACAAACTTGGGTTCCAACTGAGCCATGATTTATTGCTGATGGCCAACCGTCAGTAGATACGCTACAGCGAGCGCAACCCGTGAAAATCTATGCGCGGTAGCGAGCATCATAAGATCAAACTCATCGTAGCATTGCTTCCTACATACATTTAGAGCTGCCACGCTCATGGCTCATCGCCCTACTATCTTCCTTCGCCCTGGACCTAGCACCCCAGGATTCGAACCTTCCTATCCATCAAACGCCACTTCTGAAACCAATTCGACTACAACAAACTCTCCCATGCATCCAATCCCGATTTCTTCGGCTGCTGCAGCGGCGGCGGCGCTCCAAATGCGCTCTGCGAGTTCGCTTGATATCCACCGCCAGCCCCAGGCGGCGGCGGTAAAGAAAAGCTATTCGAGCTCCCTATCCCCGGTCTCTGGCCTGGTGGTGGAAGCGAGAATGCATTAATCGAGTTCGCATGAGAGTTCGTAGCTGGCCTCTGCTGGCCCATACTCATGCTACTCATAGAGTTCCCAAGAGAGTTCATCGACGCGTTAGTGCTAGCCCAGGGATTGTTCGCTACGGCTGCGCCCCAGTTGACGGATGTTTGTTGTTGGGCTAGCGGTGGGGTTTGGAAACCTGGTTGGGTCTGCAAAGGTGCAGAGTTGTAGGAGGGCTTTTGAGGCTGCATAGGCGTAGAGAAGTTATGTTGCGGTTGGAGAGGTTGCGAGAATTGCGTGGCGGTTGGTGTAAGGCTGTCGAAGCGGGAAAGGTCTGGTGTGATGGTTCGTGATGCGGGTGCTTGTTGAGGACGCATTGGTGCGGACAGTGAGCTGCCACCTATTGAGCTCCCAGGCACGATTGTTGTGCTTGGGCTTGGGGTTGACCAAGCGAAGGATGGTGCAGAGGATTGGTTGGAAGGTTGTCCGGATGTATGAGATGTGGCTACTGAGGGCTGGGAATCCCATCCAGAGTCGAGAGCTGTTGGAGATGTCAGGCTGGCGTTGCCTTTCACTAGACGCTCGAAGTCAATCTCTGGGTCATCGGAGCCGCCGTTGGAATTTCCGAAAGCATTTGTAGCACCAAATGACATGAAATCATCGTTGGCTTTCACGTGACTTCCGTTGGAGCCTGAGAGCTCTTGCAGCTTCTTAGTCTGCTCGCTTTCAACTCGTAATGAAAGACTCTTGATGAGTTCCATAAACGACTGGAATTGGTTCAAGTCAAGCAATGGACCTAAGCTCATGCTCCAGAGAACGGGAAGAACGTCCATTGCGACGTAGTCCGCGTCCACCACGCCTCCGACTTGGCGCAGAACATTCAGCGCTGCAATGGCCACAGCCGGTTCCTTGGTCTTGATACCTTTGATCAGAGGGACGATCTTCTCTTGCATCGTGTATTTGTCAAGCGCAGTTGAGGATGACGAGCCCTTCTTACTCGCGCCTGCGTTGTTGATACCGTCAAGGCCGTCGTTGCTACTTGCCGGGTCATTGGATCCTCCACAAAGGATCACAAATGCTTCCAGACCTCGGACCTTGATGCCAAGACTGCTCGTCTTGGTAAAGACTGAAGCGATGACTGGAAATAGCTCATTCTTAATGGTAGAAAAGTCCAGTACAGGCAATACGACGGGTAGGCTTCTCAGCGACGCATCTACGAGACTATGTGTCGGAGACTCAATCGCAAGGTGAATGATGGGGAGAATATCTAATCGTGTCAGCTTTGATCAACAATCACAAGGATGCTTGCTACTCACTGTCTTTAAATTCCTTGCCTGAGCAATTGATGGCAATAGCCCGCATATGTTCCAGTACAACCATCAATCCCGCCTCCTTGGCCGGATCTCGTGCAGGAGCTTGTTTAGGATCGATTGGGATGAAGATCTCGCGTAGCCTAGGTACGATCTTTTCTGTGAAACTCAAGCGTCCCGAAGCAAGCAATTCCACAATTGTAAAGATGTTCTTCAAGATCAGGGATAGTAGTTCTCGGTCTTTCATCTCCTCGAGCAGGGCTGGTAGGACCTTCTTCTCCAACACCGATTTTGGGAATGATGGCAGTACTCGAGACAGTCCTCTCATAAACTGTGCTTTCTCATTTGGGGTCTTGGCTGGTAGCGAGTCCAAGAAACGAATGGTAGAAATCAAAATGTTGTCAAAATATGCACTTTGCTGGAAGTCCTTCGCCGACATCCGTTGCGCTGGCCGTCTCGTGATCAATCGTGGCAGTACGGACGATGTGAGGTCCTTGGGTATCGGCTTTGAAGACAAAAAGCCATTGCTAACCGAGGGTATTGTCGACGGAGACGCAAAGAGCCGTTTATATGTCGAAGCGCTGGAGTTGGCTTGCAATGGCGAGGTATGTGGGGAATTGTACAGGGCGATTATCAACAGGCCCAGCGAGAACATATCCGCAGCTACATTCAGGTTCGAGTCTAAGACAAAGTCCGGAGAAGTGTAGTCGAGGTTCATCTGTACAGAGCGTGGTAAGCGAGGGTCGAGGTTTAGAGTCTCGGAGAGGTTTATAGGTGTCACGGAGCTGGCTTTTGTTGAACCCTCTGGAGGACTCGAGAAGCTCAAGCCGCTGATCTTCCAATCGGACTGTAATCTATCAGCAATTTTCCCAAGTACTTGACAACGAGCATTCCTACCTTTGCATTTACAAAGACGGCATCTGGCGTCAGGTTCCCATGCACAAGCCCTGCGTTGTCGTGCAGGAACTCCAGCGCCTTGCTGATCTGCTCCAAGCCTTTCTGTATCTCCAACTCGTCAATCTCGAGCTCTCTCCTCCGTCTCCCGCCCTCTGCATCCTCCGTCACGAAGCGACTCGACCGGCCTCCCACTCCCCCAGATCTCTCCTGCTCATCCTTCTCCGCCAAAAGTCCGGACAACGAAGCCGTGACCGTCTCGGTCGCAAACTGCAACCCGCCGCTCCTCGTTTCCTCCACGGGCTCGACCAATTCCAGGATATTGGGATGCCGTAGCCTAGCCAGCGACGAAGCTTCCTTCTTCAGTCTCTCCACCACCTCCTCCGTAGCTCTCTTCAGCGAAGAAGCACTCGATCTCCCTAGGGATCCAGCATGGTTGTCCAGGGACCTCTTATCAAAGACAAACACGGACACGGCTTTGCCTGTCGACTTCTTCTTCGCGTCGTAGATCTTCCAAGGTCCCGAGGTCGAGCTGGGCGTGGAAGAAACGGAGTAGTTCGCGTTGATGTTGGACTGGAAGGACTTGAGGGCTGAACTGAACATGGTTGCTGGGATGGGCAGCCGCCGCTGTCAGGGTCTATTGTGGCATTGATATTTGAAGAATCGAAGGGTCAATTTTGGTGTATAGGAGGCAATCGAGAGCCCTTTGGTTTGTGAGGATATACTCGCCAGCGATAAAGTTCCAAAGCCTCGTCGTAGCCGTAGTGTTGAAAGGTGCATGGTGTGGGCCTATTGGGACGAGGCTCCAAGCTCGCCGCCGACTTCGGGCAGACAGCTGGTTCAGGGGGTCTGGGCCAGTGCAACAGCAAAATAATAATTTACAAAATATAGGTATTGTTGACAATCTGCCTCTACTCTACACAACATCTCGATCCCAATCACGTCTTTGGGATATAGAGAGGGCACGAGGAGCTCGCCATTCTCTTGCCGCTGCCTCTACATCTGTCTTGTCCATTCCTCAATTCCCCACAATGCTGCGTCAATTGCAGCGCCGAGCTGCCCTGCTCAAGCAATCGCCGTCGCCCTCGAGGCTGATATACCAACAACAACAATGGCAATCCTACAGCATCCAGGCCGAAGCTGCGTCTGCGAACAAGCTGCAGGACATCGACCCCTCCAAACTCTCTATCACCAAGACCACAAGCCCGAAAGAACTGCTCCCGGCGAATGAATTGGTCTTTGGACGGACCTTCACTGGTACTTTTCCCCTTCCCAATTCTTCTTCTTCACCTCTCCCTCTGTCCTCCGCCTTCGAATTATAACTCACATATATCCGCCAACCAAAAAGACCATATGCTCTCGCTCGAATGGACCGCCTCCTCCGGCTGGCTCGCCCCCCGCATAACCCCCTACCAAAACCTCTCCCTCGATCCGGCCTCCTGCGTCTTCCACTACGCCTTCGAGTGCTTCGAAGGCATGAAAGCGTACAAGGACTCTTCCGGCAAGGTCCGCCTCTTCCGGCCCCAAAAGAACATGGCCCGCATGAACAAGTCCTCGGCGCGCATCGCCCTCCCCACCTTCGACCAGTCTGCCATGATCAACCTAATCTCGCAGTTCGCTCAGATGGAGGAGAGGTTTATTCCGAGTCAGAAGGGGTACTCGCTGTACCTGCGGCCGACAATGATCGGGACCCAGAGAACGCTGGGAGTTGGACCGCCAGGCAGCGCGCTATTGTACGTCATCGCAAGTCCGGTCGGTCCTTACTATCCCACCGGCTTCAAAGCCATCTCTCTGGAAGCAACCGACTATGCGGTGCGCGCCTGGCCCGGCGGCGTAGGCGACAAGAAGCTCGGCGCCAACTACGCCCCGTGCATCGTCCCGCAGATAGAGGCCGCGAGCAGAGGCTTCCACCAGAACCTGTGGCTGTTCGGCGATGAGGAGTACGTGACGGAGGTCGGCACCATGAACATGTTCGTGGCGATCAAGAACGCCCAGACCGGCCAGAATGAACTCATCACCGCTCCGCTCGACGGCACAATCCTGGAAGGCGTCACGCGGGACTCGGTCCTTTCGCTTGCGCGGGAGAAGCTGGCGCCTGAAGGCTGGATCGTCACGGAGCGGAAGTATACGATGCGCGAGCTGGCGGACGCTGCAAGGGAGGGCCGCCTGATCGAGGCGTTTGGGGCTGGCACGGCGGCTATTGTGAGTCCCGTGAGGAATATCAGCTGGAAGGGGGACTTGGTGGATTGTGGTTTGAGGCCCGATGAGGAGGCTGGGGCGGTGGCGCTGAGGATGAAGGAGTGGATTGAGGCGAGGCAGTATGGAGACGAGGAGCATGAGTGGAGTTATGTCGTAACGAAATAGATTGAGGCCAGAGAGAAGGTCGATAGATACTAGAAATATAGAGGACGGCGGCCAGATTACCTGTGCGTTCAGTTGCTCAAGATGGCCCATAGAAGGCCACGGTCGGGCATTGATTGACAAAATCCAAAAAGCTTGAAGACAGCGTCGGGATTGATATCCAATGCGATTAATGCAATATTAGGCTAGATGCAGCATTTGCATCCCCTGGCCAAATGCAACACTCTCTGGACAGATCCCGAATTCAGTCATGTGAAGCCGTCGCGCTAAAGATCATTGAAGAAGAATAGATGATTCTTATGCTGCGAAACAATCCTCTATGTGTCTCCCCTTTCCGGCACTGTATAACCCGTGCAGCCGCAAATCAACCTCGCCAGAGTATGTACACTCCCTCCCATCCGTGCAGGCCCGATCCAGTCAGTCAGTATGTACTTCCAGTCTGCCGAATGCTGCTGAGTCGATTACCGCCGGTCATGCCACTACGACTTGTCTTCCGGCTCCTTCAGGATCCCCTCAACTTCTAACCTCCGACGCGCTTCCTCGAGGGCCCAGGTTTGTATCCTATTGAGGGGAGGCGGTTAGCCTGTGCTCTGCTTTCGAACTTGCGATCCAGCTCGATGCAAGATTCTCCAAAGACCGCAAAATTCGGGATCCCGTCGCGGCTGCCATTTTTCTCGCGCAGCATTTCCCTCCACAGCTCCATCTCCTCCCCAGCGCTCTCCATGTGCGTCCTATCCTCTTCCCAGCCATCCATCTCCCACGGCAGGTCGAACTTCTCTGTTATTCCACCTCTTGATTTCCTCTCATCATTCGCCCTATCGCTTCCCTGCCCGTTCCCCCTTCCCATTCTCCCTTCGCACAGGCCCTCCTTATCATAATCCAAAAAAGAGCAGATCCCACGACAGAAACAACAACAGCAAGTTTAAGCACTCACGAAGTATCAGGCTTGAATGCATACGCCACGGTCGCCAGCCCCAAGCTCCCAAAGAACCCATACATCCAAACCCCCTCCCACCCCTCCCGCTCCGCCTTCTCGCCCGGCTTGATCCCAAACAGCCATCCGGATGGCGGATCGTAGTGGTCCTCGTGGTGCGCGTTATCCGCCCCCTTCCGGGCCACGCTCTGGGAGAAGGCCCTGCTGGTGCTGAGGGTTGGTGTGCTGGTGCATTTGCTGAGCGTGTGCGCGGCGCGCAGGGCGGCGCTTGGGCGCGGGGTTATCGGCATCGTTTGCGTGGATGGGCTGGTGGGTGATTCTGCGGTGTGAGGAGCCGCAGCTGGAGATGTAAACGGGGAGATGTGGTTGTGGTTGTGGTTGATGTTGATGTTGATGTCGGGAGGCGGTTTGAGGTTGAGGGACGTCGTTGCTTGCCGGTGCTTAAAAGCTAGGCGGGAAGGGGCTTAGCGCCCAAAGTGCGTAGCTCCTCCGACCCAACTTGTTGCATTTTGATTCTTTGGATGAATAACAATCCCCTAAGGGCGGCTCACTATTTTTCGGTTTTGATATCGATGTCGATACTCATTAATATATTTATATCGCAGGTGTCGAAAGAGAGCTGGAGAATGGCTATTCTAGAGCACTCAAACCTCACGTGCGCGAGTCTGCGAGGAGTGTCATGTATCTCTGGGTAGATACCGTACACCACGTCCATCAAGTCTTTGTCTCCCTCTTTCGACTCATGGGACTTTCAATCTGGCTTGGATATGTATATAACTCTGTATATTGTTATATAAGTAACGGGCTGGCAGAGTTCCCATTGCTATGTATACTCGATGATATCCCCCCATTTGACTGCGCTGTTCCTTTGCACTGACAGAGCTTCATGCCTGGAGGAACGTCTTTCTCAGCTAGAGCCAATGTTCACACCGTCTCCAATTCACCATCAACGCCGCTCTCTGTGTTCTGTCGGTACTCATGAGATGAGCTTCACGATCGGGGGCCGCGAATATTTATAGGCCTGGCCCGAAAGCTTCGATTGTTGGAATCATTGGATCCGGGCTAGCTTCTTTTCTCATCTCCCCAGCTGTTATACTCCGTATGGCTCGCTGCCCTTTTTTTCGAGCCTTGAGGCATCTCTTTCCTTATCTTTGCCGCGATCGTATAATCGTCAGCTCGCTTAGGTAGGCCTCCTTATATTCTTTCAGTCTAAGTCGGCGTAAGCGATGTTGTTGTTATTGTTGTTATTGCATTTATTAACGTCGGGCGGGTATCCAAAACGCAATGCTTGGACCTTAAGGACCTTTTATAAAGTACGGCGACGTGCTAAGTAAAAGAATTATATATAATATACTATTTAATCGAAAGTAAAAACTACGTTAAAGAAAACCTTTCGTTAAATAGTTAAATATTTATAAATCTTTTAAAAGCAATTTATAATATTGTACGTCGAGTTTTCTTTCGATAATTATCGAATACGTATGGCCTTACGAGCGGCCTCGATCCGTATAATATAAATATCGTTCTCTTTCGTCGTAGAGCTAAAAAAGCTCGCGTTCGTAGCTTTTAAATAAAGCCGATATATTTGCAAAACGCTTTTTCGAAAGCGCAATACCGTGTTTTCGATTAATCGAATTAAGCCTTTCTTATCTTATCTTTTATACACGTTTCTTTTTTATCGCAAATCCTTTTAGTTTTTTTAATCGGTATGCCCGTTAAGTATAAATCGTAGTCGGCGTAGTATTCGAAAAGAAAAAAAAGAAGGTTCGGAATCGCTGATAAAAGAAGATCTCTTCGAAGAGACGTCGCATATCGATGATTCATTTTCGGCTCTTTAAACTTTCTATCTTTCTTTTTACTATAAGAGAAAGAAAGAGAAAGAGCTGAAAGTTCGTAAGGGGCACCTCGTACAAGTAAAAAATCGTAGCCTCCTTCGGCGTAAGCGATTGCGGATCGGAACCATTAATTTCATATACAAAATACAATTCGAAATGTCACCTTTTTATTTACAATTGCATTTTACGATTAATCATAAGCCGAAAACGCATTCATCCGAAGAAGTCTCTAAAGATTTTTTAATATAAAGGCCACGCTTAACTAAGTAGTCATAATGCGATCAAAGATCTTGCGACGCTGCAAAACAATAACGAATTATCAATAAGCTTTGAAAAGAAGAAAGAGACGCTCAGTATCGCATCGGAGTCGATTCACGCAAAGCTGAACGCGAGCATAAAAAGACTTTACGAGAACGCTTTGGTGCAGGCTTGATTAGTGAAGAGACCGAGTACAAGACCTCTCGGCCCTCCTGTATTCTCGTTTTTCCTTCCTCGTCTTTCCTTCTCATTACCAAGCATACGATCAGGTAGTACTACAATACTATTCTTCTCCAGCCGTAACAGTAGCGATGATTTGGTAATTACAATCGATATTATTAGAGGCCTTTCTTTATAGCAAGATTCTTTCTTTTCTTTAATATTAGTGACGATAGCGATTCCTTTAATTTTGATAATAATAGAGCAGAGGTCTGATCCCGGGCGGCCCTCAGCAAGCTCCGGGGCCAGAGGACCTCGCTTCGCCCCGGTGGTGATGCAAGGCTGCCCCTTCCGCATTAACGCTGATCGTCGGTTGTGCGCCAGGTCGGGACTTTTTTACAAATTAATTTCAAGGTCGCCGACGATGATTTCAATTTTCTATGAGAAATACGCTCTTAAAGGATATAAAGAAAACGTAACGCTTTAATTTAACCTGATATGACGGCCAGGAAATCACCCGACAGTTGCCAAATGGAAAGCTTTGCTAATCAGCTAATAGACCCTGGCTAGTAAAGGGGCACAAGGATAGATTGGAAATCTACCTTAAAGGCAGATAGGGGGTCATTTAAACCGTCAGCTGATAATCCGATGACGGTCTCTTTAAAAGACGATTCCAAGAGGTTGGCATAGCTAGTGGATCACCTTAAGCCGATACTTAAAATTAAGTAGAATCTGAAAACAAACGATTTAAATTATTTAAATCGTAGCTAAAATAAAACCATTTTAATCGATTAAATCGTTTTTTATAAAAGGTCGTCTTTTCGTTAAAAGATTATTACTCAAATAAGATTGTTTTGATCGATTAAATAGTCGTTTATAAAAGTCGGTCTTTTTACGAAAAGACCGTTTTAAGACCGTCTTGTGGCAAAGGTCTTAGTCAGCTCCCGCGGTCCCTTGTAGCCGAACCCGTAGCTACCGTAACATGACCTTCTTCTAAGAATCGGTTTCGTTTTTGATAACCGATAGGCACCGCTACTACGTTCTTTCGGAGAGCTCTTCTGGAACTTGTCTAGTTCGAATGATTTATTGGCCTCGCCGTCTCATTCGGCAGCCGACGATGAAACGACTACAATGAGAAAGATCTCAAATATAACAGAATTTAGATCACGTATTCTCGCCACCTGCTAAAGGTGAACTCACAACTGACGTCATCAAGTTAATCTATTCTTCTATGACGGCCAAGAAATCACCCAACAGCTGCGAGAAAGAATAGCTTTATCACTCGGCCAACAGATCCCGGTAAAAGGGTACAAGAATACCGGTAGATTGGATGTCTTTTCTGCTATTGACTATATAAGAGTCTTAGTCAGCTCCCGAGGTCCCTAGGTACGTACGTAGTAGCCAAACCCGTAGCTACGGTAACACCCGGCCGCAAGCTAAAGCCTGCGGCCTTCCGCAAGCTCCGAAGCAAGCATTTTTTCGAGCAATTATTTTTCTATTATTCATCAGCTCTTCATCAAGTATTCGAAAGAAAAAAAGCGTAATTCTTAATCGCGAAAGGTGCATCTCAATTGCAAAAGTGCAGATCTAAGATTCCTGTTTTCGTATTCATAAGCGATTAGTCAAGTTGTTAGTATTCTTCTTCGATGGCCCAAGCTCAAATGGATGCACCTACGCTAATCAACGTCGCAGTCGAAGGTCAAGTAACCGCAATTTGAATAGTTTACAGGATCCACATCTAGCTCAACATTATATTAGATTTAAACGATTTATTCCGTAAGATAGAAGACGAATCAATTTCGTATGAAAATAATAATCGATAATCAATTGTTTCAACGGATCATACGATTCTGGAACTTTCGGAAGAAGATATACTCGTAGAACCCTGAGTACCTCTTTATTAAGTGCTTATCTACTAGCAGTAGCTGTAATTTGTACCTCCGTATTCCATTTTCTAGAATGTGGCTAAATACAATTAAGGCTTTTAGATACGGCCGATTATTTCCTATGCCCCGAACATTATAAAGTTGTTCTTCGCGTGCCTTAACCTACAATTTAAATAGGCCGCCCTGCCAAATCCACTTGCTGCTTTATGCAGGAGAATTTCCAGTGATGCTTAAGAATCAATTCCAAAAGATAGGCTGTCCGCGCAACCAACGGTCTTACATCTCGAACACGATTAAAGCATATATATTTCTTTTACTATACCTATACCGTAGCTTTCTTAGTTCGAAGGTTATAATTGCAACGGGCGCGCCATTTGCATATATCGTCATAGTAGCATACGTATTTTATATAAGTCTTTTCGCTATTCGGACACTTAAGCTCTTATCGCTCGTGGATAGCTTGATTAAGTACTGCGTCTCTAAAAGCTTTTAAATCATGAAATACATTGCTTTGCTAAATTAAAATAAGTTTAAAGGCTTCAAAAAATTGATTTGTATTTACATTGAAATCAAGTACATCGAAGCCGAAGTCGCTAAACGTAGCGTCTACAGATTTCAATAAAGCATCTAAAGCAGCGTCGATAATAAAGATTCCCGATATTATAGCGAAATAAATCGCGATAATGATATTAAGGTCACAACTATATAAAATTCAAGTATGGGCGGCATCGCCAAAAGTTTTCTTGCATAAAGCAGCGGGTAATAGTCAGTGCACTGACTTTATGACCTGCGGGCTCTCGGTCACAGTCAAGGCAAGCAAGTGTCCCAGGTTAAGCAAGTGTCTTATTTCAATAAATTCAATTTGTTTTAGAAATAATTTAATAACAAATAAAGTTATAATATTAAAAATTTGATACTTTTGAAGAGCTCGATTCCGCCGATTAATGCATTCAAATTTTATCAATATAGCTCTTTTTATTATCAAGTAATTCAAGTTGCAAATCGTCAAAAAAAAATTGTTTTTGATTCTTTATCGAAAAGAATCGAAAATCGCGATTTGTATTAAGAATAAGTTAATAACAAAAAAAGCTATAACAATAAAAATTAGATATACGAATCGAGATCAGTGAATTATACTTTAATTATAAAACACATTATATATTTTTATTATTAAAATAAGTAAAATAATATTTATTACGCAAAATTACAATTGTAACAGCGAAAAAAGCTCGGACAATTTAGCGAAAATTCAAGAACATCAACTTTCCGATTACATTTATAACTTAAATAAAATAATAATGATAAAAGTTACAATAGAAAAAATAAATTGTACGAGTCCGCTTAATTAAAAAAAATTTTAATATTGAATTTTTATATTAAAATTCGATTTGAATGACGATTAATATTAAAAAATATAAAATTTTTAATACAAAATATTTGATTTTCAATCAAATTCAATCGATAATCAAACATCATTTATTTTATTAATTATTAAATTGTTAATAAAAAGATTTTATACTTGGTTAGGCTTTTAAAGATCTCGATTACGCCGATCTATGCATCTAGTTTTGAATATTATAGCAATATTCGTTGCTAAGTTATATCAATATAAATTGAAATAATTGAAACGGGACACTTGCTTGACCTGGGACACTTGCTTGCCTTGACTGTGACCGAGAGCCCGCAGGTCACAAAGTCAGTGCACTGACTATTAGATTTAGCTGAGCGGTTTTTTCATATACTAGTAGATAGTACTACGTCGCAGGCGTAAGTATTACCCCTCGAGGGTAGGGAAAACAGGGGGTTGAAAGTGAAAACTAAACTTTTAAGGCACCCTCGAGGGGTAATACTTAGGCCTGTACCGTGGTAGGTTGAGACATGCGAAAAACAACTTTACTATGTTCGAGGCATAAGAAATTGTCGGCCTTTGAAGATGCATTTGGACCCAGTCCGATGATTTGCCATGTCTTATTACTCTGTCAACATCCCGATGCTTCAACCACTCAAGCCCGCACGCCGTTTGAGGTATACCACCCCCCTACCGAATTGCTACAGCCCGAGGGCGCCTCAAAAGTTTGAATTTTCACTTTAAGCCCCCTTGGTTACCCTACCCTTAAGGGTGTAACAGTTACGCCTGCGACGTGGTAGCGATGCCTAGCGCGTATTCACAGTTCAAGAGACTTACGTACTACCGTATCTATCACCTGCTACGTCTCGTATCTGATCCTTTGCGGAGTCGATATAACGGTAGTACTACCTATGCACATATGCCTATCCAACATTTACGTGATAGCACAACATCGATCATGATATTTATAGTAATTCTTTGAAAGACCAATCTCATCCATCAATCTTGACTAACTCCTGGGTAGGTACTTGTGAGTAAGCTACCACCAGTCTTTAATTACAGAGACACAGCCCAGCATGAGATTGGATGATGGGAGGTTGGGACATTGGGACATTGGGAAATAGCAAAAGTACGGAAATACCGGTACATAAATACTAAAATACAGAAATACAGAAATACAGGAATACGGAAATGCTACTTATTCGGCCCCTATTATCGGCCAGGATCGGCTGGGCGGGCCTCTCCCAGGAAGCCCGATCCCTGAGGACGATCGCTCTATTTAGCTTCTAGCAATTTATGAAAACTAAAGTGAGCTTGATCTACGGGACCCACTGAATGCCAATTTCCAAACGACACGGAAAATCTTCATATAGTACCTAAATCTTCATATAGTACCTAGGAAATGCTGAACATAGTAACATATTACACTTCGACTTCCAAGTCCACGGATTAAATTCGATACACTTACTTAAGAAAGGAGTAGCTTTATATACTGGGGATCTCCCCCGTCACGTCCCAGCTTCTCACCCCCATCCCCTTTGTTTGTCGACTTAATTCCACGTTCCTTTCGCTTCCTCTTCTTCGATCGGGCCTATCCCAGGAAAAAACCTCTATCTTCCACCTGGTCGTTGGTTCTTCGAGAGGTCGTTGATATGCGTTCGTTCCTCAACACGCTCGCTTGGGCGGCGCTTGTTTTCTCGTCCATTGCGTCTGCATCTCCCTCTTTGGCGGGAGATGCTGCCACTGCCGCACCCGAAAGCGACCGGGCTCTCCTCTACTCTCCTTCACGCGACCAAAATCGCATTATTCTGGCTCCGGTGAGAAACTCCCACCTCGCTGCCCGGGCTCTCGACAACAAGGAAAATGCTGCCGAGCTGCTCACTCCCACGACCAGTGTCACCCTTCTGCATGCGGCTGCTGAGGATCCTGAAGGAATGACATCTTGGCTCAACTGTACACTGAAGCACCCTGCCATCGTCCTGGAGGATATCCGCTCCGCGACCAGGGTTCAATGCCCCGACAACCAGGTCTCTGTGACCTTCGACAACCAAGATGACTTCGAGAAAATCACCACCCTCTGGCCACAGAATAACTTTATCCTGATCACCAACCATGGCCCTGACTGCAATGATGAGAACGAGCGTGGTCTGCACAAAGTCGAATCCATCTCCTTCGATCGCACATCCATGACGCTCGTCGCGCAAGCCGGCAAGACTTCGTTTGTCGACATCACCGAAGAGATGGCCATCGAGTTCAGCAAGCCGGTCACTGATCTCGCCAAGCCGATCAAGCCGGACACTCCTGCGCAACCACAGCGCCGCGATTTTCTTAGCGACAGCATCAACTATATTGCTGGAGTCCTCAATATCAACGCCACCATACTGGCGCCAAGTCTGGAAGTCGTGCCCCATGAGCTCGTACTCGAGGGTAACTTGGCCATGCGAGGATATATGAAGTATGTTTGGGGTGATATAGGCATGTCTGAGGCCTATATCGAGGTCAGGATGGGACTCACCGCAGCCACCGGCGTCAACGTCACGGGCCAATCTGAATACCTCAAGACCCCTTTCTCGCTAGTCCCAATTAAATGGACTTTCGCCCCCATCATGATTCCAGGAATCGTGGCTATCGGTCCTGCCCTCACCGTCGGTACCGGCGCTGAGGTTTCCACCTCAGAACCTATCGATATCTCATTTAATATCACCACCGGGCTCACGGAAGGCTTTGCCCACATTGATCTCCTTAATCCATCCAAGAGCACATCCAGCGGCTGGTCGCCATCCTACACCGAAGGCCTGAACGTCACCAAAGGCGCCGAGGTTGAAGTCCACCCTATCTTCGACCTTGAACCCAAATTTGCGTTCGAGTTCCTCCTGGGTTTGATTTACTACTCCGTCGGCATCCGTTTCCGCGCAAAGTACTTCAATTACTTCACTCTCCAGCCTGCTTCGGAGAACCCCCCTCCCACGTCCGACGCTCTTAGCTGCCCTGGAGGATCGCTGCTCTCGAACAGCTTTGCCTTCACCATCAATTTTTTCGTCTGGAGGGACGAAACTGAGATGTTCAAATACGAGGAACCCACCACCGAGCCCAGATGCGTGGGCAACGGCCAGAGGATCATCGGCGGAGCACCTGTGCCAAAACTACCTGCGCCACCGACCCGGCGTCAGACGGTGGAGGCGACCTGGTGATATTCACATTCATTCCCCTTTTCCCATATTTTCTTGTCTCGTATACCCCTACTTTAGCAGTTATCATTAGAGCAGTAGCTCGTCGCAGGCCTCGAATATAATGTCTTGATCACTCCCGTTTCTCTATATGTGTGTGCCGAACTCTTCGGCCTCGGTGACGCGTGACCATTGCTCAATCAGCATCAAAGTGATGGCCGGGTGTTGTGCTTTGAAAGCACTTTGTTTGACTCGCTTAAATCAGTCCCGGGCTGCAAGAGTCCTGATCAAGGGCGCAAAGAAAATCATCCCCTCCCGCACTTTGGAGCAAGTATGCAAGATGAATTCTCGCCGCTCGCACAATTCAGCTCGTGAAGAAGATCCATCTGATGACAGCGTGACGCTCTTGCTGATTCACATCATCTCCTAGCTCCCCTTCTCCTGCTCACATTCTACTAGCACAAAGACAAGAGAGAAGAAAAAGTAGCCCCTTTCGTTCAATATCCAGCTGAAGCATAGCACAGACCGCCTCACGAATACCTAGCCATTGCCACTCCGCCGGGCTGCACGCCGAAGGATACTTCTCAAACAAGTAGTACTAGTACTATTGGATCGAGGAGAGTGACCAAGGTAAGCTAGGCTCTAGGACGGAAGGGGAAGAGTCAGGGGAATAAATATTATTATTCTCATTATGGATCCATCTTTCTTGGGGCTTCGAGCTCTTCCCGCTTCACGCAGAGTTTATCGTCACCTATGGCAATCAACAAGCAGATAGGGTACCGGTAGTAGGATGTGCTATTCATTCAGCTCGCCCTCTTTCCCGCCCTCCTCTCAGTACCCCCTCTCATCCCCGCCTCTGCCCACTGGGCGGGAGGACTGAGCGTGTATTTCAGTGCTCTCCTGCTAAATCGATCGATTCCGATTTTAAATCCTTCAAAGCGTTGCTATACGTAGAAGGCAAGGCAGCGATACCGAGAAATATCTTAGCATCGATTTTACTATCCCCCCATGAACAAAGGCCAGGATCCCAGGGTGGCACGGGTAGGCAGATTTCTTGCAAGGTTTTGGCTCGTGCCACCCTTGGGGTGCTGACTTGTGTTCATGAGGGTGGCGTAGTATCGAATTGGGATTGGAACGGTATTATTTAATGAATGGTTTCTTTCTTGTAATTACATCTTAATTTAGATAGTTATTAAAATGTTTTGCGTGTTTAAAATGAGCCTTATCATAGACCCCTTTTAGAAAATTGGACGGGGCCGGCGATGGGACGGCGGCTATGGGGGCTATGGGATGGTCGGGGACGGTCTAGTAGCTAAAAGCTATTTCTGAATAGAGTCTAGTGGTGAATTTGGACGGTCCAATAACCGTCTCTTATACCGGTAGAAGAGGGTCAGAGGACCAATCGAAATGACCCCCTACTTGCCTATATGATATGTATTTATATATGTGTGTGTATGTATCTGTATATATATCTGTATATATATCTGTAAGTATATCTGTATACATATATAAGCATATATAAGCATATATAAGCATATATATCTGTGTATATATAGGTATACATATAAGCCTATATAACTGTATATATATAGGTCTAAGTATATATGTTCGCATCTTTCCATTATCTTGCGTGACTAGGTATTTAAAGCCAAAGAATTCCAGTAATAGTCGTTTACCATGAATTTGACTTGGAAAAAAATCCCCCGACCTGGTGGCGCAGCCAGGTCGGCACCACCAAAGCGGAACGCCCAGCAACCAGGGACACCTAGGTACCTACCACGGTACAGGCCTAAGTATTACCCCTCGAGGGTGCCTTGAAAGTTTAGTTTCCACTTTAAACCCCCTGTTTTCCCTACCCTCGAGGGGTAATACTTACGCCTGCGACGTAGTACTTTTGCCTCTTTATAATGGATAGAAAATCAGCCACCGATTCTATCGCAACTATTTTTGTATTAAAATATGCATCTTGTTAAGCCTAACCGACAATAACAATTGGGACAGTTCTACTTTATATGTATTTGTCCCATCATGCTGGATCAAGGTAAGGTAGCAAAAATCGTACTTTTGAACTTTTGAAGCCATAGGCTCGTGCACTGACTTGGCATAGCCGTGTAAATACTAGAATAGGCGAGGAGTATGAAATCGGACTTCTTCCAAATATACATTTCTTTTAGAAGTACATTTTCTATACCATCAACTTTCATATAGTAAAGATTTCCTTTCGGATCATTATAGAATTGACTATTTCCTATCGATATGTATAGGTTTTTCTTTTTCTTTTTATAGAATTGTAATCGTCGTTTATTTTAAATAATAATTCGAGAAAATTACCGACCTGGCTGCGCCACGTCGGCACCACCAAGGCGGGACAGTAACGGTATACCACTTATTGAATAACGATTACTAATATAAACGAAAAAAAGAATATTTATGCTTAGAAAACTTTACTTCATAAACGTGAATTAGAAATATAATGATGTATTCATTTGTGGTGACCTAATATACTAAAATGTAGTGAGAATATAGCTAAAAACTGTCCTAAATAATGTAACTTTACTTGTTTGCTTCGAATATCTTGACAACCACAACCTTAATTAAAATAAACGTCTTTATAGATCGGAAACAAATTATTTAGTTTATGATGTGAGTGAAGGAATTAATTATTAATTGGATGTTGATAGTGATGCACGAATTCTTTTGATAGGTTTTAATAAAAGAGCAAATTTTATGGTCCCGCCTTGGTGGTGCCGCCTCGCTACAGCAAGTCGGTCAGTTCTTTCGAATTAAAGTCAAGGTAACCGACGATTGGTTATTAAGATATCCGAGACCGATAAGGAGATTATTTAATTATTCGGAACAGTTTTTCGCTACATCTTTATTATATCGCAATGTTTTAGTTTGCAATAAATATGTACATCTTTATGTCTATGATACATGTCTGTATAACAATGTTTTCTAAGCATGTAGATACAATCGTCGATTACCTTGAATTTAGTTTGTAAAAAATCCCGACCTGGCGCAACAGTAACGATATACCACTGATTAAATAACAACTATTAGTATAGAGAAGAAGAAAAAATCTTCATATACTTAGAAAGCTTTGCTTTACAAACTTGAATTAAAATTGTAAAGATGCATTCATTTACAGTAATCTAATACATTAAAATATAGTAAAAAAAATAAGTAAAAACTGTTCCAAATAATTCAAATATACTTGTTTATTGCGAATATCTCAAAAACCATAACCTTAATCATAAAAGAAACTTCACGTAGATCGAAAATAGAGAATTTAATATATTTATTATATTAGTAAAGGTATTAACTATTGAATCAAAAGTTGGTAGTGATGCACGTATTCTTTTAATAGGTTTGAATAAAAGTCCGATTTTCGTGTTCTTCGCTTATTCTAGTATATACGCGGCGATTCTGATATATAGGTACGCATTATTACCTTAAAGGGTGGTAGGGGGTCATTTAAATGGTCCTCTGATCTTCTTTTATAAGAGACGGCCATTGGACCGCTTAAATTCAGTACTAAGCTCTTTTCAAGAATAATTTATCGAAAAGACCGTCCTATTGAAAGAGACCGTTTTGTAGCCGTTTTATAGCCGTCCTCGTCTATATTTTTAAAATAGGCTTATTAATAAGCTCGTTTTAAAAATTGAAATAGTTCGATAACCATTTTAAAAAAGATATAGTTATAATAGTGGGCCTTGACGTCGCAACTTTTGGGGCCCTTCCCTAAAGTGGGCGAAAAAATTATGTCCCGCGAAAAAATTATGTCCCGCTTCAACGTC